CAACTGCACGTCATGTGGTTGCTGCTGATGAGCCCGGCGGAGTGACGTCAGCCGCAAGGTGAGAAGGATAACGTGGACTGAAAGCGGAGGAGAGTGTAGCCTCGCTCATCTCATCCCGTCCCATCTGCTTGTTGTCATTATCACTCACAGAAAGACTCGCTGCTGCTGCTGGACTACATGGAAACACATTCTTTCCACGCTCGGTCGAGCCTTCGGACACCGGGGGCGTCGACAGCATTTTCACAGGTAAGGAAACCGGTTTTATTTGTTGGACGCGACGCTTTGTTTCCACTTAGCCACCTACCCTCCTTTTTTCTAGTTTGGCAAGCACGGTGATATTTTTTTCTGGTTAAAACACAAGTCTTATCCTACACAAAAAGGCTGTCTTTATTGAAAATATTTCTAGAGCTTTGTGCAATTTTTCTATTGCATTCGCTTATAAAGGTTTCTGGTTGCTAGGGTCTCTGAACCTGTTACTATGGGCGTTTTCCGCCTCACGTGCAGCTGAGAGCCTGAGCCTATACAAAGCGTTGATTCCCCTAATTTTAATCGCTGCATATTATGGTAGCAGTATGCATTTGTTCATGTTTTAAGCCTATACTCTTTTTAGACAGTTTATAAAATCTAATATTGGAATATATTGATATGTGTTGAGGAGGATATTTTAGGCTTCATCTAAAAACTGCAGGTTCTGTGTTCAGTTATAGATAAACTATGTAGACACTTTCCAAATCACCTCAAACACATCCTTGGTGCTTCAGAAGTATTTGTTTATTTATTATGAGCCCGATTAGTAGTCCCATAAACCTGTCCTAGTCTTCCTGGATTTTAGTTAAAACAGCATTACATTACTTTAGGACACAACAAACCACAACAACATGAGCAGTTCCAGCAAAAACAATTTTTTAAAAGTTACTTGTTTACATTTTAAATATTGATTTCAGTGTTAATTTAGTCATTAAGGGTGGATCAGTGTTTTCATTGCTTTACACAGTATTACTTTGGCTCTACTTAATGCAGCTGCATTGTAAATGTTTGTAGTGATAGGCCATTTAATAACAAGCCTAACAAGTTCTTTTTTGGGGGGCGGGGTAGTAGAGTCTATCCCCCTTCAAAAAAAGGACATAGTTGGTTAATTAGCTGTTCCGTGAATTCCCTTGTTGTAGCAGTTAGCAATTATGTTAAGCATTCCCTATCACAAAATACCTTAAATAAGTAGAATACAGCTCAGTAAAGTGTAACACAATATGTTAAAACAAGTATGTAGAAACTAATTTGAAATCAGTACAGTGAAATATATTAAATTTAACAAACCAAAATAAAACAGGATTGATGCTTTTTGCTGTTGGTTTTCAAGTTAAGAAAAAAAAATCTCTTTCAATCCATTGCTTTAGACTGGCATGTGTCTACAGTTTTTTGTACTGTAGTGGTAGACCCTTTAATATCCTGGGTTTTATGATTGCTATTCACATGGATAAAAAGATGTGGCCACTGTGAATGTTCTCTGTAAACAGGAACAATTTTTGCTGCACTGGTAAGAGATAATACCTGTAAAAGCTTGGCCAGTCGGTGTTTGCTTCCAGGTCCAAAGGGTAAGGGTAAGAGTCAGTGCAAAATACCTCTGTCTTGTAATCCACTTTAGCTCCATATGGCAGAGGAGAACGTATTCTAGCTTTCATTGCCATTAGCCTAAGCCCTGCTCTGCTCAGCGAACACATCTATGTTCTGGCAGCCTGTCTGTTTTCAATAGAGAGAATATAATGATGTCAAAGACTTGTTAAATATTAAGACTTAACCTGCGACATCTCATCGCTTCAGTCGTTGCCCTTTTCCAGCACCAGAGATGACAGTGTGTGTTTGTGAAAATGCTCAGTGAAAGAAATGCAGTCACTGAAATTGTTTTTCTTTTTTAACCTGGTCAGAAGAGATCTGGTTACATGCTGCAGATCATGTTCCTGATCATTTATTGTGGTTATGATCGTGTAAGTGTAGGGTTTCAGGAAAACAATATCATTGTATGCTTTGTTGCCCTTTCACTGCCAATTTATGAAGTAGAACTGAAAGTCAACAATGAAATACCTTGAGCCTGATCTTCTGTGTAGGGTGGGGAAAGAAGGAATCTTTTCTAAGAATGCAAGCTGTTATCATAAGCCTTAAGGTGATTATTATTTCTTATGAACCAACCGGGCTTGTGCGTCTTTCATGCCAAGCATAGTCTCTTGAAGTTGTAAACACAGCAGAACTCGCCATAGTTAGTCCATGTAAGCCCAACTTGCCTAAAATAAATCTTTCTAAAACCTCAATGAGCCAAATTGGAAATGCTTTACTAATTAACTGAAGCTGAACTGTTTCAGGTAACCTACTTTGAGTTCAATCATGCCATGAGAAGCAAAATAGAACAGCAAAGTAGTGCATGAGCCTCTGTACAGTTTTAGTCTGACTTTTAAGGTTTTTACATTTGGTTCAGTCTCAGAGCTTCACCCAGGGACGCTGAGTGATGCATCGCTATGTTCATATGAGCAGATAATGAAAGCTTTTCCCCAACTCACTTCCCGTCTGTGCTTTCAGAAGGTCAACCACACGGCCCCGATGACTTAGTGTGCCGAGCTAGTGTGGAATTCGATTGCTGCAGCTCAATTCTGCCCGTCTGTATGTATACAGTGAAAAAAGCATGTGCATGACTCATTTTTTTCCCCATCCAAGAAAGTGTTTTATACATGTTCACCAAATGTTTGCCTCAGTGGTTTCTGTGGAATTGTACTGGTTATGGTTGCTCTAATAAAAACATGCTAGCATGGGCTGCATGGTTATTTGATGATGCAGTTCACCACATCGCTTTGTTTCTGTGAGCTTCTGTGTCAGTAAATAAGCGAGCATGCATCTGATACACGGCCAGGTTTTTGACTGTGTGTGAATATGAGCTGTTGCCACTCACACTGTGTCATCATTTGCTTGGATCTGGAGGTGTGGATGAGTCTGCCTCAGTCTGACCTGCATGGCTATTTTAGTTTACATTTTTTAGAATCTCTTAGCGAGACAGTTACCGTTAAGAGAATCTGAGCAGGACTTTGAAACTGATGTATTTTAATGGGAAAAGTCTTCTTAAATGGTCCAAATTCTTCCCTTGTATATTAAGTGATGAGACCAGTCTGATGAAAATTTGTGTTCAGGATATGAAAACCTTTGTCCAGAAACACAAATCTGTGGAAACTGTGAGGCTTTGTGGCTCTATAACCACATTTTATCCTAATCTGTCATCTTTTATCTTTGAATGTTTTTCTTCCCCACCTGTTTTCTCCTTCACTTCCCTGTCTTACTCCTCCCTTTCCCTCCGCTCCGCAAAGGCTCAGCGGTCTGTTTGCCAAGAGTAGAAGAGAGCAGGGCATGAGGCTGAGCTGGCTGTCACATGCCATCTGCGGGGTCACATGAAGACACGCCATCACGTTCTCTACTCTCCTTTTTCCCCTGGCGTAGCTCTGAGCCAAGGAGGATTGGCAGATAAGGTGTGAAAGGGGCTTGAGTTCAGAGGAAAGCCAGTCAGCAGTGAAAGTCAAAGAAGACAGCCTGATTCTAACTTGCAATTTAGTGTCTACATAATTTTATTATTGCCTTACAATATAAAGCGCCTTGAGATGACTGTTGTTGTGATTTAATGTTATATTGTTATTGAATTGAATTTAAATAGTTTAGGAAATCAAATACAGAAAGAGGGACCTCAGAGACTTCAGGTTGGCGTATTAAAATAAACAAAGAAAAATAAGGAGTGTGTTAGTGTCAGCACAGAGCGGATGAGAAAGCTAGAATCTGAAGAGGTGTCCCTGCGGCCTTCAATTTGTTTTTGTCTTGTTAAACACAAACTGAGTTTTGAGAGTCACTGGGACCACTGCCAAGCGCTGAGATGCCAGTAACACAGAACGTGTATCAGGCTCGCCAGGTAAACTGTCAACAGGAGGACGCCGTGTGTTGAGTGACTGCCGTGACTTGACATGTTTATTGGAGTAGACACGGAAGCTGTTCGGTGGGGGAACATTCTTGTACAGGAACTCAAATAAGATTTACAAACAGAATTTTTTCATTGTGTTAGTTATGATACTCTTTCTTTTTACAAAAATCTAAATGAGCACCTATTTCATTATTTTTACACCACACCTCACTTTTATGTAGGCTAAATGTTGATGGATGGGACAGTGATGTAGTGGTTAGCACTGTCCACTCACAGCATAACAATTGCAAGTCCAAAGAAATGCATGTTAGTTAGATATGCAGGAAGTTAGTTTTCTGGAAGATTCTTCCATGTTTAACATAACTGAAGCATATAGGAGTCCCACGTTATGTCATAGCCGTCTCTACGTTTCTCAGAAGACACCATTAAATGACGAGCATCTGTGTCTCTAATTGTTTTTCGTGCTCAGGGCTAAAGGTCAAGTTAAAGACACAGTTTTGCAGATTCCTATGCTTGGGTTTAAGTAAATCAGTAAGTGAATATTGTAAAGGATGTTTCACATTTTTCTTTGTTCCAGTAAATGATGTATCTCCAGCACAAGTTAATCCAAAACTTAATTCCAGCCATAGGGCTATTAAGACAAACATGTTACTTTCTGTGCTCCATCCATTTGTTCAGCCCACCAGCTCGAGCGCCATCCCTAAAAACCATTCATATGGTATCTCTCCTCTGTTTGTCCCAGCCTCGTCAGCTATTCAACCAGTCAGCTTCTAGCCTTGCCGAGCCCCCCATGGCGACCTCCTTTCCTGCCTCAGGATGCGAAGTAGTGACGTTTCTGCCAGCACAGTCAGACTGTCCTTGTTCTAATGTGTTTGTGCATTGAGGAGATTACAAGGAAACAGCTTGCCAGGGGCAGGCAGCTGCTGTTTCCTACAGCTTGCAGCAGTTTCGGGGGACAACAGCAGGATGCCATGGGGGAGAAGCGGCTCGGCGGCCCTGCTGCTGTTCTCTGGCAGGGTTATTGGACGATACAAGGCCAGGTAGGATTAGGCTGTCGGGGTCCGCTGAGGCTTGTGGCTGAACTCTAAGCCAGCTGAAATGTGGTGTCACTTTTGTTTGTGTGTCTTTGATTGAAAATTTTGTTTTGCTTTTCTTTATTTTTCCCTTTTTGAAGAAATTAAAACATATAACTTTATTGATGGATTCATATTTATTATTTGGACGAATAATATATAAAAATTTGTTTCTTTATGCTCTTCTCTGTGCACCTTGGTGGTAGGTGAATCTCTATTCTGGTGCGCTTTTTTGTAAGATTTCGGTGCTTTATAGATCTGCTACATGCGTTTGTGATTTTCCATGTCACAGATCTTACATGCTGGGATGACTTAGGAAAAAAAGCATTTGCTCAAGGCTGTGTGAGCTAATTGTCGCATTCTCTGAGCTCTAAGAGGCTTTCAGTAGAATTCAGCTATAAGGAAGAAACACTGTGTTACTACACAGACCTCTTTTTCAGTGGATTGCAGTATTCCTTCACCAGAGTTGTTGTTGGGGTTACTTTGTGTTTCCCACCGTGCTGAGCATGAAGGTAGACAACAGGGTCACGTTTTGTCCATTCTTCTCTCAGAGTGGATGGCTTCCTGTTGATACTCTGTCTTAATAGGAGGTCTATTCAACAAAGAACAATTACAGCTGCATGACATTTTCAGTATTCCTTTTTTAGCATTAGTATGAAGCATGTTCTTTGTTTTGTGGCCAAGCTACGTGGCTTGCTGGCAAGCTGAGGAGTATTATTACCCGATTTAAAATTAAACAATGATTCTTTTCCTCCTGGTTCTTGAGTCAGCGTGGGAGAAAATTCAAAGCTAGCTTTATTCCTCTTTATAATCCCTCATCTGAGGGGAGTTAGAGGTATTTTTAGCTTGCGTCCTGCAGTATTTTCAGTTTTTATGAGTCTTTGCACAAATTCAGAACACAGCAGGCATGGCAACTTTAATGTATGAGGATATTTCTTCAAGCTTTTATTAAAACAAACAAATATATAATCTATCATAGACAATATAAAAATGTTTTAGGCCCCTTCCCCCTCATTTACCAGGTGTTTGTGTATTCACGTCCCCAGCTGATATGTAGGACATCAGCATGACAATAGAGTATTGAGAGAGCGAGGATGAGTCACTGATTGAGTGAGGCCTTTGGGGGTTACATACTCACAGGCAATGTTGACAGACCTGTTGCACTTGAGAAACTTTCACTTTATGTTCCTCTTACTCTGTTGTGAGCACAGACAGCACACACATCATATCCTCTGGTCACATTACAGTCATTCTTTTTCTAATCTTTACCCGTGCCCAAGTATGCAGTTGAACGAATGCGTCTTTCTTCTACATATAAGGTATGATTTGATGCAACCTACTGCATCATTAGCTGTCTGACCGCACGTTTGTGCAATTTGTCAACACTTTAAAGCTGGGCTTTTTGTTGTTGTTTTTTTAAAAGGGGGAAAAACTCATCATTAGAAACATTTGATTTAATTATTTCTTGTCACATACATTGAAGAGGGGATTAAAGTGCTTCATCTGGCCATCTAAGAATCCTTGATTAATGAGCTTAACAAATGTCGTCAGGCTCATGTTCAAAGGTCAGTAAAGTGTCTGAAGTGCTATAAACATGTGATACAACATAAAACAAGCAAGCTTTTGCTCAAGGGTTCATTGTTTCTGTCCACTTAGACTACTACTGTCCTAAAACAATGACTGTTTTGTGTTTCAGGGTAAGCATTTTAAGCAAGGTTTTGAAATGTGACAGGTCATAGATGTCAGTTTGAACCAGTAGGGAAGAAGATGGCAGTGAGGCGTATAAGGCAGGGCGCGTCACCTCGGAGTAACATGGGAGGGGACAGGTGTGAGTGATGTCTAGATGCTCACGGAAGTCGTCACTCCCTCTTGCATTCCTGCTCGAGCTTAGAAACATGCCACACAGCCTGAGCCACACTAAAGACGCTTCCTGTCACCTTACAAGAAACTAGAGCTGCGGATAGATTTGCTTCGCTCTCACACAGTGTTCATCAACCGGGACTGGATAAAGCTCGATTTTGTGCAAGACTCTAATTCCTGGATTTCTTTAGGAATGTGGATATGGGAGGTAGAGCGGAGGTAGTGGTGAACACGCTCATGTCCAGCATGCCCAGTACGCATTTTTCACGCTCCACACCGAGCCGCTTAAGGCTCCGTTCACAGACTCGATGGAAGGGCAAGCACGTGAAGATATCCTTTCACAAGATGAAAGCCAGGTAGGTGTGAGAGTTAGAGACGGAGCTGGCTCACAAGAGCTTTGGTGAAGGTTTGGAGTGCTTTCTGTTCTTGAAGAGAAGTGGTGCAAATGACAGGTTCTGCGGTAAAAAGAACAAAAGGTTCTGCGAGATTACGGTAGATTTACTTTTCGTTGAGAAGTCTGTACTTACAGAAGAGTTTTAAAAGGGTGACTCTCTTTAGATTTTTATCCCAACATTTATCACATGTGCTAACTGTCTCACAGTTTACAGACAGTCATTGGTGAGATATAAATGAGTTTCACCTGGGTCACATATGAACTGCCAGGTTCGTATGTGATGGTTTTCATAGCTGCATGTGAGTAATATAATGAAGCAGCTTTTGTGTGAACAATAGCCTTTATTACATCACTGATTATTTATTTCATGGATGTATCATTATTCGCTTTATGGTCAAACTAACATTCATACTCCTATTGGCTGGAGAGTTTTGATCAGCTTCTATAAAGTATCTTTAATTATTAATTTATTCATTTAAATCTGAGTGGAGCTGGTAGAGGTAGGTGTTACCAAGATGGTGTGTATTATATAACTCTCGAACAACTGAAAATTAGTCATCAGAGGAGACGGGAATATGTAACTGTCAAAGTTAACACATATGCCAGACATCTGCTTCTCAAGCACTTGCAAACTGCATAAAACAGTTGGTCTCTGGCATGCCTTGTGGTATTTTCCATTGTTTTCTGATCGTTATCAGCAGACAAACGCATTATTGAAGGCTTGTTGCCAGGATCACTGCAACTATAAAACTGTTGGGTTAGGGGCGATCGTTGCTCAAGAGTTGGCAGTTCGACTTGTAATCGGAAGGTTGCCGGTTCGAGCCCCGGCTCCGACAGTCTCGATCGTTGGGTCCTTGGGCAAGACACTTCACCCGTTGCCTACTGGTGGTGGTCAGAGGGCCCGGTGGCACCGGTGTCCGGCAGCCTCGCCTCTGTCAGTGCGCCCCAGGGCAGCTGTGGCTACAATGTAGCTGCCATCACCAGTGTGTGGATGACTGAATGTAGTGTAAAGTGCTTTGGGGTCCATATGGACTAAGAAAAGGGCTATACAAATACAGGCCATTTTACCATTTACTATCAATCTGTGAAGGTGGATTTATGCATCATTTTTTGCAGTTAATTTAATGTCTGTTGTAAATAATTCATGATCTGGATTCTTCACGGTTGTGATATATTTTGGGAAGAAACATTGTTGGGAAATGTTCCTAAAATTGCTGAAATATTTGAGGTTTTCCATTGAAATTCATTGGATTGGGGTAGGTACTGTCAGCTAGTCTGTATCCTAGAGTACTGCATGTGTGTTGGAATGTAGCCTCACTAGTTTCGAGATCAGAAAACAAATGGCAAGAGGCCATTTGGTTCACAAATCTCTGTGGAGCTGTTACTTAATACAATTTGACAGTTACGAAAAAATTTTTTTATTTTAATTCAGTAGAACCACTTCTATTGTTTATAATAATCTGTTTTAATAATCTGGTAACTGATGTATTCATGTTTAATGGTGATGGATCTTGGAGTGCAAAGTGCAATATCAGTGAAGAACAAACTTATATAAACTTTTGTGTCTCTGTTTCTCCGTGCTGTTACTTTGCAAGAAAAGAACCGATCATTGAAAATCTGTTGAAACTCACACCTCTGCCACCACCACCCGTGCCCCGCCTCCTCTGAAACTGGTTAGGAACACTACAGCACAATATGGAATAAAACTAACCAGACCTTGCTTTTGTTGACTGGTGGCTGATGTGGGCATCTGTGAGGAACATTTCGATAAGCTCACCAGAATTACAGCTGAAAGTATGACGAGTATTTTCTGATAAATATTACTTAATGATAAGCCACCAGGCATTCCACAGAAATTCCCCAGCATGCTTTGGTATGAGTTTTAACATTTGGTGACTTGGAGAATGTGACCAGGCTGCACACCAATGGAGTGAATCATTGATGTGCAGTCAGGCTACTTCCTGTGTCTGAGATCGCTGGGTCACATTTAATACTGGAGGGTGCAAGTGCATCTGCCAGCGGAGTGTGTCCTATTGTTGGCACAGAGCAGAAACCCTTGTTTTTCAGTTCTGTGCAGGAAATACAGGCTGCTTTTCCTTGCATGTGTACGGAAAGGAGACTCCGATCAGATTTATTCATTATAGAGCTGCATATTTTGTCTTCCATTGTTAGTATGTGACATTCACAGAAGGGCGTAACCCTGAGGAAAACAGATTTCACATTGTTACAGTGACATCTAGTGGATTTGTGGGGTACTTTGCCTCCGGGCCACATTTCACAAGAACAATAGAGACCCCCCTTTGTGTCCATTTGCGCCAGCTCTCTCCGCACTCCTGCCCTCCCTTCATCCCACTCCTTTTGTCTCTCCATCTCTCTGGGCTCTTCCGGAGGATTCACCCTCCCTGCACCACCCCAGTCTTTGCCATTCATCCTGCGTTTGTATGTGCCTTTGTGTTTCTATCCATTTGTTTGCATGCATGCGTGTGATTTCTTTACGTGTGTGTATGTCTGCACCAGAGATCCCAGCCCCACCGAGATGAGCGTGGAGCCTTGGGCCAGCCCGCAGGACCAGGCAGCCGCTGAACTCTCTCACAGCGAACACACGGACACGCCGCCCTCTCAGGATCAGGAGCAGCACCCTGATAAACTCTGCCTGGACTCGTTCTGGAGTGAGGTTGAGAATATCCAACAGGGGAGTGGCTACGCAGACGACTGCAGCAGGAGAGATTCGAAACACTCCGAAGGTAAATACTGCAGATCCTGCACTGATTGAGGAGTAATGTAAAGAAAGAGCTGAAAAAGACACTCTCTTTAGTTTATGTGATAGCATTATAAACATTTAGTGCTTAAAGCAGCTGCTAGTGAAGAGTCTCCATGAAATGATGCATTAGCCATGGCAACATATCAGGTTTCTCTCATGCAGCAAAGTAGCGCTCGTCACCATGACAACACCATCAAACAGTCTGTGGCAGAGACTGTTTTATATGCAGGAGCCAAATAGCCATTCATGAATACTGACTTCTAATAGGAGTGCTTTTTTGTTATGCCCATTCAGATGATCTGATTGTGTTAATTCAGTGGATCCTTTTCATGTCACTTTGTAACAGGGGTGCTCTTTTAATTTTGCTACTAATGAATAGTGAGTGAGTGAGTGTTCAGTTTTATGTTTCTTATGGCTGAACATTCACTAACTGCTGTATTAAGTGTTGAAGAGCAATTGTTTTATACTTCACACTCAGCTTAAGTTATCATTTTAAAGCCTTTGTTTATACTTCAAGTTTAGTTATTATAGATCACTTAGACTGCAGCCAACTGAGTGAACTGTTGGCCTTGTAATATGTTCCCTATTTAGAATTATGGATATAAAGAGAAGTTTCATTAAAGGTTTTTTTTAATCTATTGGATTGGTTTCCTGGTACCCAATTTACATGCTACTTTACAATTTTAAGCAAATATTACCAAATAGTGTTCTAGTAAAGCTACATAGTTAGTTGCAGTAATTTAGTATTATTTGAAATACACAAAACTGCTTCAGAGTTAATAGGGTTGAGTCATTCTGCATGTTTAAATGCATTTTATCCACATCATGTCGTTGTTTGTGTTTTTACATCCCAGCGTTATATTTATGTGTTTCAGAAGGAGAGCAGGAGGAGCAGTGGTTGGCCGATGCTGGCTTGTCAACCCTCATCAGTGAGGACACTGAGACGGTAGACAAAACTGCCCTGCTGTCCACTCTGACCAAGACGCAGGCTGAAGCCGTTAAGCGTCGAGTAGAGACCTACACGCTCCGCAAACGGAACAAACCGCCACCGCGTGACGTTCGCGACATATTCAGCTCACAGGTCAGGATGCTCAAATACTGAACCCTTGACTGTATCTGAAGAAGGAAATTGTGCAGTAATGATTGTTTTACATCGTAGAATATCAGCCACTAATTAAAGGAAAGCAGGTAATTTGCATGCAGCTTTTCTTGATACACGCACATCAGCTGGTTTCCCGGGTTTCCGGTTTCAGCACTGCTGCAGAAACTGTGTGAAGGTTAACGCAAGTGCAGAATATCTGTTTCTCATGCGTTAGATTATACAGTAAAATGTAAGAGACTCAGTTCCCAGGTAACTGTCGTGACACATTCAGGGTCTTCTATTGTTCCAGCGATGCTGTCTTGTTTGATGGAAGAACTGATCTGTCACAATGAAGGCAAATCACATGTAAAGGCCATGCTTTGTCCTCAGAGACAGCCTTAGAGGGGAACAGAGACACTGTTCTTCTGATCCTTATCAGTGCTGTATCAAAGGAAACACCCTGCACAGACCATGTCCCTTCACTTAGTGGACACAGTTAAACACATACTTAATTCCCAGGGGTAGAGAACACACATAAAACTGATATTTATTAGTGTGACTTATTGTGGAAACTAACATGTCCGTGATCTTCCTCTATAGACTCTCGTGTCCGAGTCTCAGCATAGTGAAGACCCAGCCCAAAACAGCATGGCATCGGTAGCCAAGTCACCTTTATCAGGTAAGAGCTGCTCACCCTACTTAAAAAAAATACTAAAGGGAATAACAAAGTGGTGGAGGCACTTTTTAGTCTATTCTAAAACACTGGCTGAAGTCATTTCAGTAAAATAATTTAATCAAACTTTTCTTTGAGTACCCGACTCAAACCAACCCTTTGTTTTGATTTTCCATCACCATTGTGTCATTTTGATAATTACTCACATGTTTAACTGCAGTAGATGATGAAATCAGGTGAGCTTCGGATTTCTGGGGGCCTGATGAAGGTAGCTCAGGCCACGGCTGCGTCATCTGTTTTCTCATTGGTTCATATTAATCCCTGGATAACCACTGGCCTCTGCTTAATGCTGCCTGTGTGTATTTATTTTGCCAACTTGACAATCCTGTTTCTCATTTTTCATTTTTTCAAAAGTATTGAACACATGCAGACATCTGATAGCGAGGAACAGTCATGACTAACACAATAGCATACTTGTCTTACAGATGAACTTTTGGCACAGTTAAAGGTGTTGTGACGTCAGTATTCTTGTTTTTATGTGCTTATGCAATGATTTGTTTCCCTGATTTAGCAGATAAGACACAAAGTCTGTTCACAGAACATTTCCTCATATAAGGGCTTCCTGTACATTTTTGTCCTTATCGTTCTTTTCTTCATATTATACATTCCCTTTTTATTTTGGAGGTTAGTTTTGTGACATTTCTACAGTAGTCTTGCCTGATTGAACTAATAGGCCAGTGTTTGTTTATGGAAATGTTTTCTGCTCAGCTGTGACCCCAGAGCATCAGCGAGGAACTCCCAAAGATGAATACTTCATCACTGATGTGGCTTATTGTGAACAGGCCGTCATCCTCATCAAACAAGCCAAACTGCCACAGAATAACAGCCAGCGCAGGAAGGAGGACGGCACCCTGCCCGTAAGCACCCAAACAGTTTTCACCTCTCACACTCATTTTCTAGGACAGCTGCAGCTTTCAGAAGACTTCTGGGGTTTAAATATGTTGCTTTCTGCTTTATAAATGTTCTGGTGATAAAATATATCTACTTGTACATTTATTTCTTTTGTTAAGAAAAACTGTTGGAAGAAAAGATTTCAAAAGAATAAGAGAGTGCTAGTAACAGCGTGATTTGTGGGCAGTTTAGTTCAATTTAAGCTTAGCTGTAAAAGAACTTACTGTCACTGCGCTGATGAGCGGCTTGTTTCACTCAAACCTTCATGAAGATAAATGACAAGAACAGATTTTTTCTAAATGTTACAGCATGTTTTGCCGAAAGCTTTTAAGTCTTACAACATCTTGAGGCCTCAAATATTCAACAGCATCACCAACCGGCAGGCTGTTATCAGAAAAAAAACAGTAATTACAGCTATATAAGGAAAAAAATCAAGGGGTGAGGGCCACACTAACAGAGACCAGTGTACGTTTCAGTCGCTGATTGGATTAAGACTTTCATGTAAAACCACATGCGCACAAACACACACACACACATAAATGTTATTATAAGCCATTTGCAACAATCAGCGCTCTGCTGTTGCTTAGATAACAGGGTTAAGGAGATAAGGAATGATGGAATTAGCCAGAAACAAAAGGAGAGTTGTTGTGTCACAGAGTCCAGCAGCTTTATTTTTCTATTTCAGGCTGAACAAGTTTGCTCTGAAAAAGGGCAGAATTAGTGGTTTTAATTAGTGAGGTTACATGTACTAACACACTACATAGAGATAAACTTATGTAAAGTACATTATAATTACTGTATTATTTACAGAAATTAATTTGCATGTCATGCTTGTTCTTTTCATTTTTCCACTTCCATTCTTTTTCCCCCCTCTTTGTACATTTTCTGTATTCTCTCCCTCTTCACCTCCACTTTCTAACTTTCAACTGCACTCTGGCCCCCTTCTGCTTTTCCTCTCCTTCCACTATCGCCTCCCCAGCGGGTCATCTGCCCCAAGTGCCGTCTTGGAGTGACTCGTATTCAAGATCTCTCCCACGCTGACATGAAGAAGGTGCGTCAGTTGGCTCTCATCGACATGACGGCGCTGTGCGACCTCCTAGAGCTGGAGGTCAAAAGACACAAAACTGGCAAGAGGAAAAACCCAGGTGTGATTTCATTCACCATCAGGTCATTACAGGAAAAGCACACATAGAAATGTTTGAGGCATACTGTGAGGGTAGTAGCTTTAAAAATAAACACACTGGAGAGAAAATGATGATTTTAACTGTATGTTGTGTGTTTAGATTTTGCCATCTATATAAACCTGACAGCTTTTTCACTTCCGCCAACTATTCCTGTTGTTTAACCGATAGTTAACTAGTTTAACAGTGGTCGTGTCCGGTGTACTGACGAGTTGAGTATATTCAAAATCTTTTCTACATGCGTATTCTCCACACAGAATAGCACGAAAAACTAGTCTAAACTGTGGTTACATATTCTTTAGAAACAATCAATCATAAATAACCTTCAAAAATGTGGGTTAGCAACAGTATAGCAAAAGCAGTGACCCGTCTCACACAAAACATTGAGACTTTGCCCCGTATTCTGTTCGGGCCAGATGTTTATATGAGGGCAGGCATGACTGACTCTTTGGTCTTTCACAGAGAGCCCGCTCTTTGGAGTCCCACTGGCCACGCTGCTGGAGAACGATCAGAAACTCAAGCCCAGCGCTTCGATTCCTCTCTTGCTGCAGGAAGTAAGAACTCTGAAAAATATCTGTGTCATGTGTCTTAAACAACATACATACTGTTTGTGCATATTGTGTTCTATATATGATGTTTATGATTCAAATCTGTTGATCGCACAAACTTCACAAACGTCTTCGAATCAAAATCAGAAAACAGGCCCCGTGTCCTCTGCATCTGAAACACTTTGACCACACCCTGTTTGTAGCAGCAGTTACTGAGTATAACCAGCAGAGGTGATCGAGAGATTCTTATCTAACGATGCTCAACTCTGCTGACGTCTTTCTCTCTCTCTCTCTGCAGTTGTTGTCATTTCTGGAGAAAAAGGGAATCGATTCGGAGGGGATCCTGCGTGTCCCAGGATCTCAGTCCAGAATCAAGGTACAAGAGCAGGGTCTACACACCTCATTACTGTAATAAATAACTGGATGTTTAAAGCAAAAAAAATAAAAAAATTTCAAACCAGCCAAAATATTGACAACTGTAAAATGTCAGAAATTCCAGATCAATAGAGAGGAAAATCAAATGGCTTCTGCCGACTTTAACTACAGCTGACATTTAGAAAAACAAGGTCCAATGAGACAAAATCAATACTGCTTTTGCAGCTGCTGGTGTAAAGCAGCGCTCACGATAAAGTATTTAATTTCTTACACACTCAGGTGACGGTGAATCAATTAAATATCAGCAGCCACTAGAGGGTGCCAGTTAGCTCTAAAGAAGGAAAAACAGCTAGAACAGATGCTGGGGTTGATGACAGCGATTACACAGAGAGATGTAACTGGATTGGTATTTGTTGAGTTTATTGTTTTGACAGCAAATCAAACAGTTAAAATGTATTAATGCATTTAATGCTTACACAGCGTGACCCACCGGCATCCACCGGCATTTGGTGTTTTGATTTCTGCTAAGGAAGACTGAAATGCTAACACATGAGTCCAAAATGCAAAAAGTACAGGAACAAAGACCATCTGACTAAGATGAAGAGAGGAATATATACTTGATGACTGGAAACAAGGCACAGATGGGAATGATTAAACAGGTGAAACTAATGAGGGCGAAGCAGACATTCATAAAGGAAGGACAGGAACAAAAACAATTCAATTCAATTCAATTTTATTTATATAGCGCCAAATCACAACAAAAGTCGCCTCAAGGCGCTTCATAGATACAGAGAAAAACCCAACAATCATATGACCCCCTATGAGCAAGCACTTTGGCGACAGTGGGAAGGAAAAACTCCCTTTTAACAGGAAGAAACCTCCGGCAAAACCAGGCTCAGGGAGGGGCAGGGCCATCTGCTGCGACCGGTTGGGGTGAGAGAAGGAAGACAGGATAAAAGACATGCTGTGGAAGAGAGACAGAGATTAATAACAGATATGATTCAATGCAGAGAGGTCTATTAATACATAGTGAGTGAGAAAGGTGACTGGAAAGGAAAAACTCAATGCATCATGGGAATCCCCCGGCAGCCTACGTCTATTGCAGCATAACTAAGAGAGGATTCAGGGTCACCTGGTCCAGCCCTAACTATATGCTTTAGCAAAAAGGAAAGTTTGAAGCCTAATCTTGAAAGTAGAGATGGTGTCTGTCTCCCGAATCCAAACTGGAAGCTGGTTCCACAGAAGAGGAGCCTGAAAACTGAAGGCTCTGCCTCCCATTCTACTTTTAAATACTCTAGGAACAACAAGTAGGCCTGCAGAGCGAGAGCGAAGTGCTCTAATAGGGTGATATGGTACTACAAGGTCATTAAGATAAGATGGGGCCTGATTATTTAAGACCTTGTATGTGAGGAGCAGGATTTTGAATTCAATTCTGGATTTAACAGGAAGCCAATGAAGGGAAGCCAAAACAGGAGAAATATGCTCTCTCTTTCTAGTCCCTGTCAGGACTCTTGCTGCAGCATTTTGGATTAGTTGAAGGCTTTTCAGTGAGTTTTTTGGACATCCTGATAATAATGAATTACAGTAGTCCAGCCTGGAAGTAATAAATGCATGAACTAGTTTTTCAGCGTCATTCTGAGACAGGATATTTCTAACTTTAGAGATGTTGCGCAAATGGAAGAAAGCAGTCTTACATATTTGTTTAATATGTGCGTTGAAGGACATGTCCTGGTCAAAAATGACTCCAAGGTTCCTCACAGCGTTACTGGAGGCCAAGGTAATGCCATCCAGAGTAAGAATCTGGTTAGATACCATATTTCTAAGATTTTCAGGGCCGAGTACAATAACCTCAGTTTGATCTGAATTAAGAAGCAGAAAGTTAGCGGCCATCCAGGTCTTTATGTCTTTAAGACATCCCTGCAGTTTAACTCATTGGTGTGTGTTATCTGGCTTACAGATAACAGAAATGAGAAACCTTCAGAGTAGAACAGGAAGTAACCAAAAAGAGTAACTTACAGTGAAACATGAAGACGGAGACGGGGAACACAGATTAAGATGAACAAAATGAGCACAAACATTATTCTATGAAAGTTTAACAAAATTAATTTGATTGAAACTATAAATAGATTTTAGTTTAAGTCTAGTCATCCAGTTGGTCCTGTTACATATTTTCTGCATGACTTTTCAAACACAATTAGAGCTAATAATAGAAAAATGTTTGCAGCCTTACACAAGGCACAAATAAAGACTGTTGTCAGTTAAATTTACACATATACAGATGCACTTGTGATGAAGTGTGTGAAAGTACATGAAACACCTTTGATACCTTTGTCCTGAGGTCCATCATCATGAATACATAATTTATTACTGTAAAGGTTTTAAATGCATACAGGTCAATGTGCTTTCAAATTGTCAACGCTGAGTTATGCTGAAAATTTTAAACGATGACTGATCCTCGACATTATCTGTGCCGGGTCGATAGTTTGAATCAACATTTATGTCACGTAGCTCTTAAACCGCCATCTTTTGTGTCTGCAGCTGCTGCAGCAGAACTTGGAGGCCAACTTCTACTCACGGCATGTCAGATGGGATGAAGTGAGTCCGAACGACGCCGCTGCACTGCTCAAGAAGTTCATCCGGGAGCTGCCCGCTCCTCTGCTCACCGCGGAGTACCTCAACAACTTTAGCGCCGTCAGGGGTCAGTCAAGACTAAGTGACAGCTCTTGCTGGATAAAACATCTTTTGTATTTGTGTTATATTTGTGGCACAGTGTTGTAGCACACTGTTGTATAACTAAGTATTTTGGATTGGACGAGAACTGTGTCTGATGTTTGTATTAATCCTTAAAGGTTTTCATTTTTAGGACAAGGCTTTATATTTATAGGGCAGCCATACAGTCAATCAGCATTTCACCGCTAAAGTACCCGAGTATAACTTTGGATCATTCATTCATTGTTGCCAGGTTGTATCAAATTACTGTACAGAGCATCAGCTCTTCTTCCCCTCCTCTTCGCACTAATCTGCTGCCCACTTTCGCAGACAGCTCAGCAGGATTCACATCATAATTATCTAAGTCTCTTCACCTCGACGGCAGCACCGTGTGACACTTATCTATTCTACTCTGGCTGAAAAATTAAAATTAAGATGAACAAGTTGATACCATTTTAAGAAGTATCCCTGCACTGCCACAAATACATGTGCAGTGGCACAGCTGTACTGTAGATCAGTGCATTTGCATTAGTTTCACTTTAATAAAAATACAGATTGATATTAATAGAATCTAGCTGGTGTGTAGCTTGCGAGGAGGATCACCGCGATGATGAATGATGTGCGACCGCAGAGACATAAGCTAACAAAGCTAATGGCCACCTGTCACACTGTCATTAATCCGTAGACATACCATTATTCTTTGTCAAACAGAGGAAATGAATTATGTGTGCGTGTGTGTGTGTGTGTCTTACCTACTTGTTTCTTCTTTTAGAAATCACAGAGCTGAAACAGAAACTCCACATGCTGAACCTGCTCATCCTGCTGCTGCCCGAGCCCAACAGAAACACACTAAAGGTAAAGACAACACAACACAGACACAAACAGTGAGTCGTGCTCTCAGACGCAGTAAAGCCTTTTTGTTCTGGCAGAAATCCGTGCAGCTCCTTATTGTGGGCTTGTTTGATAATGGAATATGACTTTTCTGTTCACATACCACCTTTGTGCTTTTTATTTACTATATTTACTCACTTTAACTTGTTATGATTTCGTTTAGGAGCACAGCTAAAACAGATCATTTTGAATTTGATACATGTTAAGTCAAAGTCAAACTTTGTCTTTACTCAAAAACGAGAAAAGTTCTTTTGACGGCATAAATATTAATAACTGTATATTGTTTTGTGCTAAAGGACTCACATACTTTTAATGCTTTAGTCACATTTTTTGATACTTGCAAAAAGTTGTAAAAAGAAGTTTCCTTCCCACGCAGTGAGCAGCGGACGCTAATGTTTTTGTCACTTTTTACGGAATCAAACTTAAAGTAAGGTCAGTACTTCCACGCTTTAAACGCTGCACGTCATACTCTCTGCCGCATTCGTTATATTATCCGTTGTTGATCTGCACACAGCTGTTGTCACAAACGTCGCACTCGCTTACGTCATTGTCATGAGACACTCGCAAAAAACTCCAGTTTTTAGTAACGCAGTAACGCAGCGTGCTTACAGGAAAGTAACAGTAATCTAATTAGCTTTTTTGCAATCGTAAACCCTTCTTTTACTCGTTACTTGATAAAAGTAATCGGATTACAGTAACGCGTTACTTGTAACCCGTTACTGCCCATCTCTACTGAACAGTAAATACATTTAAGGATTCTCTCTTTCTCGGGAAAAGCCTTTTTTATTTATTTTTTATCAAGATGATACTAAACCACCTTCTGCATTGTATTAATCTTTCAATGTTAATTTAATGTCAGATTTCTAGTATTTTGTAGTGTTACATTGTTCCTTTCACTTGCATGCACATGAAGAAAATCTCCAAGTTTCAGAGCCAAGTTCAAAGTGTAAAACGCTACATGAATGTTACAGAATGTGTGAATGACCCCACGTGTTAAAACTGTACTTGTGAACAACAGGCTCTGCCACGTTTGATGTCACACTCTACAGACTCTACTTAGATTTTCCACAAATGTATCCAGGATGACACTTGACCAAAAGCACTGTTTCATAACACAATACTGTATTGCTCTGCTCCTATTCCACATTTTAAACACTCTGCTCTGTTATATAACCGCTTGCATTAACCATGACTCATTTTCACTAAACACAAGTATGCAGTCATCTCCATTTATAGCGACCAGGAGCTTAAAAGCCACCTGAACTAATTACTTTGACTCCAGCGTCACAGCTGAAACTTTCTGTGCATTAGCATACTTCTCAGCAGAGGTGTTGCAGATGATTCATTCACTGTAATTATTCACTTCATCGTATTTTGTCCTGCATCTAAGTGCTCTCTTTTCTTTTTGAAAGACATTTAGCTATAGATCAGTGCATTAAAGCTCCAAGCTTTAACAAAAGGAAACCTGTATCTGCATCTGTGTTTGCTTTAGGCTCTGCTGGAGTTCCTCAGTAAGGTGGTCTCCAAGGAAAAGAAGAACAGGATGAACTTGTGGGCCGTCGCAACCATCATGGCTCCCAACCTGTTCCTGCATAAGGCCGTCCCAAGCAGACTAACTGAGGGTGGAGAGAAAGGACAGGCGGAGAAGGCGGCAGATGTTATGAGGCTCCTCATCCGCTACCAGGACCTGCTCTGGACGGTAGGACAGAGATCTGAACCTGCAGCTCCTGAGCCACATGCAACTCCTTTTGTCGATCTCCATAAACATTTACATTTTTGATTTATTGTTGTTGCACGTGATTCTTTACATTCTCAAAATGTAGTAATATGCAGCCTACACACCAATAAGCTAATAGTATCGTAATAAACTAGTATTCTGCAAACTAAAATGTGCATCAAAGCTTATGTTACTGCTGGCCTACTGGCCTGCTTGGTCTGCTGCTGGACTGATTTTGCAGCTGGTACACTTCTAAAGTGTTGTATTCATTATCATTGTGGGCTAATTTGAATTTAAATCACTGCACAAACACAGGCAGGACTCAGAGCCGACGTAACTTTCTAGCTAGTCAGTTTTAAGCAGTAGCTATTTTTCCTCAACTTCTAAAGAAAATTATTGTGTTTTGTATTTTCACCCCCTGCAGAGTAGTCATGTGGTAAAATAGTTTAATTATTTGCCCCTTTTGGGCTCATTTGTACCTAATAGACATGTTACGCCCCTTTATAAGTCCCAAATGTATTTTGAAGCTCCACGCAGATATTTTTGTAGGGATAGGTTGCCAACTCCTGCTGTATTTACTTCACAAGTTTAATTGGTTTGACAAGGTCACTATAGAAACTTCCAGAGTGAGGCTGTGTTTTTGTTTTTGTTTTTTTTCCTGCCAAACAGTGTGTGAACATTTCTTGGCATGAGACAAACATTGTGTCATGTTGCTCCTCTCTCCAGATCCCTAATTTCCTCATGAGCCAGGTGCGTAGGCTGAACGAGAACAGTAACCGGCGTTACCAGTTATACGATCGTCGCTTCAAGAACCTGCTGAGAAAGATTCACACGGACAGCAGGGAAAAACCGGAGAAAAACTCAGAGGTGAGCTGGTGTCACAGCACTGTACTGCTTCTTTCACTAGAGACGCTGCATGCCAGGCCCAAAGGACCATTTTATTAGAGTATTAGAAACTTTCAGTTGGTTTTTAGGCAACACAGTAGGTTTCAGCTGGTGGTGGAGCCGGACAGATTTCTGACATAAGCCGGTTTGGGATGAACAAGTGCACCATGTTTGTGGGAACTTCTACAGTGAACTGTTTTAGCAGTTCCCTAAATTCCCTTTGTAGAAAGAAAGGCATAAGTGTTCAGCTACCGAGAAATCAATTTCAAATACAATAACTGTGAGATTTTATACTATATAAGTATCGATGCGTTTGATATTCAAAGTTATTCCAGACGATGACCAAACAAGAAGAATAAATTGTGCTCTTTTTGTGTCCTGCAGCCACATCGTACAGTGAAAATCCAGGTTGGAGAACTGGAAAGCAGCACGATGGATTATCAGCTTAACTTAAATTCAAGAGCCTCCGACCTTCTCGCCCAGTTTTACCGCCAGTTCCTCAGAAGCCCTGAAAATGGAAAGGGCAAAATGCGGAGGTACGAAATCACAATATTAAAAAAATGTTTTTAATGCATCCAGCTGTGTTGCACGAATCTGTCTGCTCATACATGTGAATAGTTAAAAACAAAAACAGACCCTGATGCATGGTGCCGCGTGCGTGTCTCCCAACAGGAACGGCTCGGTGGCGTATTCGGACTGCGCCCTGTACGAAGTGGGCGGGAATATCGGTGAGTGAAAGTGTTCTCCGACCGGTGCAGCACTGACATTTGCGTGTCTTTCCGCTCACTGAGCCCACGAGTGTAGCAAGGTCTTACGTAATGAAGTGTACAAGCGCCAAAGAGACACGAGCAGTGCATCTGCAGTTATCAGAGCAGACAAATGCTTATTACACACATGTCTGCGCGCTCACATGAGAGCTGACACAGTACAACCGAAACTTTTTGTAATCTGCACTACTTTTGTGGTCGAAAAACTCTAATCTTTATGCTTTAATACAAGTACAAGGATTAGAATTGATTAACAGTCAGCACATTCATAATCAGCTGACAGAAAATGGGTAGAAACCATAGAGATGATATAAACAAGTTCATATTCTTTTATTGTTAAAGGAAAAACAAAATCATTATGAACATTTTTGTAATGATCCTTGCCATAATTGTTTAATCCATAAATTAATTAATTGATATGTCTTGAAGTTCACTTTTTGTGTGTTATTTCTGCAGGTGAGCACTGCCTAGATCCAGACACACACCTTCTAGATTTGTACAACAGCAATCCTGGAGGAGAGTGGATCATCAAAAGGAGACCCAGCGGCAGCAGGGGGCTGTGATGGATGGACTGAACGAAAACTCAGTTTCAGACTAAACATAAAGGCATCAAGGTCTACGGAAAAATCAAATCCACACAGCCATCACTTCTTCATATCCTGTTCATCCCGTGAGCAACAAGCAAGAGGGAGACAGATGGAGGAAGCGGGAACGGATAGATGGAGAATCTGCCTGGAGCAGAGCCTAAAAACTGTCTGCGATCACACGAACACACACTACCCTCTGTCTTTCTCTTCCTGCCACTCTCCATCTTCTTCTTTTCCCTTCACTACATCATTTCTCTCCTGCGTTGCAACGCTGAGAGCCTAAAGCTGCCGACGCGACTCATTACTTCCAACAGAGAACCTGCTGCACAGAAAAGAGGAGAGCGACCGGCTGGACAGTTTGCTTCGCCATCTTTTCTCTCAAGCAATCGTATCCAACCATGAGCGAGCAGATGGGGATGCAGAGCACCTCTGGCTATAGAGAGCTCACGCCCTCTGTCAGGCCAGCATCTGCTCCACAAAAGTGTTTTTCTATCATGATTTATCAGGGCTTTGTAAAAAGCTCAAACGTGATACAAGAGTTTTATGTGCATATTTGAAGAAAATTTATTGTCTAATGCCAAAAGTCAGCAGAATACAAGATTTCATTTGTACATATTTGCCCGCCTGCATCTCCAGTGATTAAGCTATTATTACATCATCAGTCTCCAGTGTTACCACTGCTCAGTCACTTATACAGCCAGTTCATACAGATAACCCTGGATATTCAAGTATTCAGTGAACAAGGACACATGTAGCAGGTCAACTTTCAGTCTTATTATGAAATTCTGGATTTCTCAACTTTTGTCAGAAAAAAATAGTTGACCATGAAGTAATACATGAGGTGCTCCATACCTTGATTTCTTTGTTCACCCACCAGTGTTACTTTACCATAAATCAGGAGAAACACAGCTTTTAAAAGCTGATTTCTTTATTCTTCTATCCTGACTTAAGCAGCAAGTTTTCCTATTTACACATTCTCTTTACATCTAGAGCTACTCGTAACCTCGTGTAAACAAATTTGAACATAAAACCCTTGGATCATTTTTTTTTTAAACAAAAATAATGAGAAAACAGCAGCATGAAAGAAGACACTGGGCACTTAAGCTGCTGGAGCAGAAGCTAACCTGGAAACAGACAGTTGATCCAGATCGATCCAGATTGATTCTGCAGCTTTGATGACTTAAGTAAACAAAGACTGGGGTTTGTCAGTGTCAACTCCCTTCTTCACCTGTGCCATTCAATGAGGGAAAGAGGCCCTGATGAACTGATATCCCTTTATCTGTGAAACCCTGCGATCTCCTGGGCATTAAAATTTAAAAAATCCTCGGACTTCCTGAGCTGCACAGAGCAGCGCTCAAAGAGACTCTCTTGGACACCACGAGATTTGGTGTTGTGACCTCAAGGACAGTGACTGTACCTCTAAAGGGAGTTGTAAAGGACACACAGTGAAGCTGGTCTTCTCGTCTTTTTTTAAAAAACACACGAATGAAGGCGAAAACGAGCAAAGTGACTCATGGGGTGTACCGGGATTATTATTATTATTATTATTATTGTTATTATTTATATGAATGTAATACCGTTGTTGCTTCTTATTCAGTGAGTATTGTGTAGGATAGCGAGACTCAGTGTAACAGTATGATGTGTTAAGCTGCCCATACTCGGTGTGGGAGTTTGCAGTGTTTGTGTTCATAATTGTTCGTATGCTGGCATTTTTTTAATGGATCTCTTTACATCTGTTAGTAGGAGAAGTTGTATAAATATGGCTCATTCATACACACTTTAAGGATAACCCTCTGCAGTAGGACTGTTTGTTGTGAGGCTACTCAAAGCTTTTTCCGAACGCAGTCGAGCAGCAGATGAATGTATTTAATATTTTGTACCGATCGCCAGATGTGAATCGTTTGCTCCTCGCAGACGGAGCCATGTTGGTGCGCCGCGGCCATTTTGTGGGAAGCGTTTCACACACTCCACTCGATAGACGGGGTAATGACAGCCGGCCCGCACCCGACATCTATCAACACCCTCCCCTCCATCTCTGTCACTTCCCTGTAATGGACCATAATGGCAGCGCAGCATCAGAAATGCACACGGAGGAATCGCATTTCTTTGATAAAGCAGAACGTAATAAATGGGCGTTATAAATTCTGCTGCCCTGGACCTGATGACAGCAGTGTGTGTGTGTGTGAGTGTGTGTGCATGCACGTGTGTGATCAGCTTCATTACACAAGTCCAATTGGCCCGTCCCAGGGTCCCGGGCACAGTTCAGTGCCTCGGCACAAAGCGAGCTGATGAAACTGCCTTCTGCTGACAATCAGGAGAACTAGGTCACCTCTGAAGCAGCATCCCGGAGGGCGAGCACCCTGAGGAGCAGAGCACGTGGACACGCATTGTCTAAACACACACGCTGAACAACAGCGTAAACAGGGGCACAGGTTCACACTGCAGCAGCTTTCTATGATCTATGTTTGTATGTGAATGTATTTGTGTGTGTGTGAGTGTGAGAGAGAGAGAGGACGTTTCCTCTCTGAAACAGTGTTATCTGTGTGATTACCCAGGGACTCTCACACAACTACATGAAGGACATTTACAGTTTTTAATATATCTGTGAAAATATTTCTTTTCTGTAGAAAGAAAAACTTTTGAAAAATGTTCCCTTTTTTGTCAATAAATGTGAATCTCATGTTGTGTGAAGCATGATTTATTTTTTCAATATGAGTTAATGGCTGTTGGATAGATTGCATCAACAAACGCATCATTCATCAGCACTACAGTTACAACTGCCACCTCTCATCCATTCCCTGTGTGCTTATGCACCAGCAGAAAACGGAAACCATAGACACATGTGTGAAAACAGAGAAAATCTGGTGGTGAAGCATTAGTTTAATCTGCTGCAATAATCAATAGAGAGATTAACCTGGTAATGTGGGCACGCGAAGAGGCCAGAGCTGCTCTGTTCCTTGATTAATCATCACCAGCTCGCCTAGAAAAACCATTTACAACTAAGTGCCTCATCAACTTCAATTATTCAAGGTCTCAGCGTGTCCAAAAGGGCGCTTGGAAGACAAAAAGAGCAAAACTGATGTATCATATACTGTTCAATCATTCATTCTTTCAGTTTTGGTTTGCAGAAAATTTGATTTTAGAGATGCATTTGATATTTTTGGAGTTAAATATTAAGCTTCCACAACAGCAGATAGAGTTCGTTGTCTTATTATTGTATAAGTTTGTAATGCCAATGTAAGTGTGTAGAATATATCTTGACAATTGTGATTTTTAAAACAAAATCTAAAAGAAAATGACAAATATTGCACACATAATCCCTTCAGACCCTACTTTTCTGAGAATGTGCTGTGTGTTTGGTTCCTTTTCAAGCCCCATTCACTCATTTCTGACAACAAGAAGAAAAAAAAAATCAGACACAGCAGCCAGCCTGCCAGACGTAGGCCCCTTTGGCCTGCTCCAGATCTAAATTACTGTAATCAGCGGATGAATAGCAATCAGCAGCCTTGTATGAGCTGCTGGCAGAACGCCTGACCCCCGGCTCTCTGCACCAATCAGACCGCCACATCCCATTCACATCTAATCATGACGTGCGCTCAGAGCTCGCCACTTCCCTCACAGTTGATGGAGGAAGCACTCTTCTCCTCCTTTTTATCTTTTTGTGTCAGGTTGACCGGATTGAAGAGGGGATGACAGTTTTAAATGAAGCTCCTTCCTGTGCTTACGTGGTGGCAGCCACGGTTTCCCTCCTGGCACTGGCTGTAGAGGAGCCACCACCAATGACAGCTGACAATTTGCACAAAAAAGTAAAAGTTTTTTTCAAATTCCTGCTAATGATGAGTTCAAGTGAAGCAGGAAACAGCATTGCTCTAAAATTAACAGGTTTACGGGACTGCAGCTCGTCCTGATTGGAACAGGATGAGCGAGCGGAGAGTTTGAGCCAGAAGAAAACCTCACGGTCCTGATTACAGGTTTAAACCGGCTGAGTTAGAGTCAAGTATTGCTCGCTGTGAGTCAGGGCCTTAAACACCACTGTGTTGCCTTCGGTAATGCGGGGGCTTTATTGAATTGAGGAGGACGTTTTATGTGACAAATTACACATTTAAAAAACACAGCTGAAAGATTTCTGGAGCTCAAATTAAGGCCTTTTAATCATTTCTATATTTAAACAAACAAAAGCAAAGAACAGATGTTACTCAAATGCCTCCCAAAGAGAAAAGCAAATATTATTATTATATTGAAGCCAGTATTTCTCCTATATGTCATATATTTGCATGGCAGCATGTTTAGCCTTCAACAGCAGAGCTTTTTTTCAAAAAATGACTGAACAAATTTTATTTTGGTAAAACCAGAACCACAATAATCAGACTTCACTTCATTTTACAGCTCTGAAAAATCCAGCATGTGCAACAAGGCACTCAGATGAAGGTTTTAAAGTCAAGATCGCCTTCATTAAGTCCAGTAGTTTAGACCTGATACAACAGTTACTTCAGTTGGATGTTTGAGCTTTGATGTCCAATATGACATGTGCAGAGTCTAGTTTGTTGACTTGTGCTGTGTAGTTGAGCATTAAAAAGCTTTTTCTTTTTCAAAAAAGGTTTGAAATACATATTTTTTAAAACATTTTTCTTCATAGGGGCTTATGCCACTTAGATCAAATGCCTAAAACAAGGGTTCTAAACAGGATTTGCCAAACTGCTGGGTGACGTCATAGTGTTCAAGCTTGCATTAATACAAAGTGCAGTGTACAAGTTAGGTGCAGCAGGACCAGGTCGGGTATTTGGCTCTGCAGTGAGCACCTGAAGGCTCCCTCAAGAGGTGCTGCTACATTATTGCACTAAAACTCTATGGGAAATAAAGGCTGAGTAATGGAGACTAAATTAAATATTTGAAACAATGAATTTGCTGATTTAAAGATTCTGAGTTTTTTAAATAAGGAAAATGGAGTAGATACAATATGTTTTTTGGGGAGGAAAACTGTATCTGGCACAGACGATTAGGTTTCTAGGTGTCTGAGTGGAGGGGATGAGTTTTTACTGACTAACAAACAAGAAGACAAGAAAACAAGAGAGGTAATAAAGGGGGGTAATGGAGGGAGAACAGGGAAGCTTATCTGCCGTGAACAAAAATGCCTCTGTCTCTATCACACGACTCACACCCTCCACTCTCTCTTTCTTACCCTCTGCCTCCCCCGACTCTATCCCACCCCTCCGCTCGCTGCCAGGGGTGGATCCAAGCGTTTATCTCCACCATCCAGCCCCGATGTTTCCTAGCAACAGAGCATGGATCATTTAACTGCCCCTGCATCCTGTGTTTCATCCATCCAGTTGTTACATGCATGCCAACTGCCTTTATTCACATTTTCTCTGCTTTTCTTTCCACCTCTGAGGCCTTTAAACTCTCATCAGGTTCTTGGTGGGCTTTTCCCCCCCCCTACTACGTCTCTCAGGTTTGCAGCACTCGAACAATATCAGTGCCATACTTGAGGCAGACAGACAGGCAGGAGAGGCTTTTCTGTCAGGATGTGTCACTCCAGGATCCAGCAGGTGCACACACACACACACACACACACACACACACACACACACACACACACATGCACAATCAATGTGAGAAGACAGGGCTTGGCCCTCGGTCTGAAAGGCCCTCGCAGAATCAATTAGCATTTAAATTAATGAAGCGCGTAATGAAGAGAGTGCTATCACTCCTGCAGACAGCCGACAGACAGGCGGAAGGCTGATTGTGAATCTGCATCAGGAAGACGCACTGAAAGGAACATCAAAGATATTCAAATGGACACTTTGGCCCTTATTTTTTGAAGGAAATGTGCCAAATTAAAAGAAGAGCGGCTTTAAATAAACCTGCACTATGTATGCAGTGGTAATATAATCGCATTTCCATATAAAAAGTGCCATTAATAAAACACATAATTAAAGATGAAATGATTACATGGAAAAGCCCATTTTTATCTTTCAATATTCATCAGTGCAAATATGCTTAAAGGAGGCTGCCTCCGGTGAAGATAATGCTGACTGATTTATTCAGGCAGACAGGAATGTGAGTTCATTCTGTTTGAAACGTGTTCTTCTGTGGGAATATATTCAAGTTTTAAAAAATTTAAAATAAAAAACCCACAATATTAATAGAATAACAGGTGAGGCACTACAAAATAGCAAAAGGTCAGAAAATAGGCCAAGATAATGATTTTCAAATTACATTCACATAAAAAATAATACATTTAATTAAACAAAGGAAGCTTTTCCAAGATCTCTGTTCAGATAGAGAAGAAAAATGGGGTTTGCAGGAGAAACCTCTGAAAACTGCAGTTCCTCTAGTGGCCTCTTGAGGCTGGCTCCAAAAGGGAGTAAATCCCCATAGACTGTCCAACTTTATAGCATTGAAGCGCATATTTCCACCCTGGCACTAAAAACAGTTTTAGACTTGATGCATAGATTTCCCCTATATAACAA